AGGCCAAGGTTGAGCACAGATGGGCCGTTCACACTTGGCCGCCATGGCTTGGCCAGCAGCTTTGCTTGGTTTGGCTTCCTCCAGACCGCTTGGACCGTGTGGCAATTTGGGCGTTGTTTATTTAGCTATTTTTTTCGGCTCTCCTCCTGTGGCTTGCTTTTGCTCCAGCATAACAGCAAGTAGTCTGTTTGTGGACAGAGGGTTGGTTTCAGCTGGGTCCAGCAAGGGGACCCTGAAAAGAATTAAACTACCATAAGTGGCTTTGGCTTTGCTTTGAGGGGAGCACACCCTCGCCTGTGTAGAGCAAAGCCAGCTGCTCAGGTCCATTGAAGCTGAGATAATCCTTCCAACACGTTTGTTTTTATCTTTATTTAGGTAACAGCATTAGTCAAGTCAGGCTTTTGTTTGGTTGGTTTTGTTTTGTCCTGACTGGTCTGGAGCTCTCAGTGTAGCCCATCCTGGCCTCAAACTCAGAGACACAGATAGCTCCGTCTGCCTTCTGAGTGCTGAGATTAAAGGTGTGTGACAGGACACTAGACAAGGAGTAAGTAAAAGTTAAAATTTAGTAAATAATTAATATAAATAATTTAAAGTTAAAAAATAGGTAGCTATGGATCTCACTGTAGTCTGCCGAATGCACTAAGGTGCCTGGGACTCAGCAGTACGGGAAACAGGCAAACATAACAACAAACACTAAAAATAGAATAAATGTTTTAAATTTAGAAATTAACATAAAAATTATCTTTCCCAGTTTTTTGTTTGTTTGTGTGGTTGGTTGGTTTTCAAAGACAGAGCCTCTGCATAGCCCCGGCAGTTCTGGAACTCCCTGTGTAGACTAAGCTAACCTCCTGAATCCTGGGCTTAAAGGCCCAGTATTATTTTTAATTTGCAACCTTTAATTTGTTATTTTATACAAAACATACAGGTAACTAAAAACACTATTACTCCCCCTCTCCCTGAAACCACTATTCATGTTCTTTGCTGGCCTGTGGTTCTGGCAGAACGTCCATGGCACACTCCTGCCCTTAGAGCTGGGGCTGCGGAATTGAACGAGGATGGTGGGACAACCCAGGATCTAATCAGGCAAGCCCCCCCCACTACCACCACAGCATGAAGAACCAAACAACCAGCGCGATTACCAGAACCTAGGAAAAACCACAACTCTGGAATTCCAGCTGGAGGAGTGATCCCCTGGCAGAAATGGCAACTTCAGAAGAGAAATGTAACCACTCACAGCTGTGAGTGGGGAATCAGGGTTTTCTCCTGCCCCTGCGTCCTCCCATTGACCACATCCAGCCTGAAACCCTGTGGTTCTGGTGCAGAATGGCCTTTGGGGTCAAGCCGGGCAGTGGGAATTCCCTGAGGAGCTGCTGAGACAGCTCAGTGGGCGAAGGCGGCCGCCCACCCTGCTCAGTCCCACAAGTAAATAAGATGTAATTTGAAAAGCAAAAAGTACAGGGCTGGAGAGTGACTGCAGTTAGAGCTCACTCTGCTCTTGGGGAGGAGCCTGGGTTCTGTTCCAAGACCCTGAACCAGGCAGCTCACACCTGCTGTGACTGCAGCTGCAGGAGATGCAGTGCGTGCTTC